AAATGCTTTTGCTTTCTTGGTAACAGAGGTGAATATTGTAGCGGCTAGGATTTGGGGAAGTAGGGCAACAACCTTGCAACCAGGAGAAAGGTGTAATGATTGGAGATCTGGCCACTGGCACAGCTGAGCTTCTGGGTCAGCACCAGACTCCTTGTTGGGTGAGACGGGCAAAGCCAGTTAGTTTTGTCATGCTGACCCAGTTTCCTTTATCAAAAGTCCTTGTCTCTCCCATCCAGGTGAGTGTCTGTGGTGACTAGGGCTGGAGTGAGGCAGTGAGATTGGGGAGACTAGTGACTGCCCACTGGGCTTCATGCCCTGGAGTAACCCACACTTCTCATGGACCTGACTGATAAGGTGCTGGGCCCTTTCTCTCATACTGGCTACCCTGCTGGTCAGCAAATGCCAGGCCACCCCTGTATCAACATTAGAAAAGGGCATTGGTCACTAGCTAGAGACGCCCTAGCTTTGTATTTTGCTGGATAAATTTTCTTGTTCAAGCTATTAAACCCAAGTTTGCTTAAAATGAAACTTCTTGTTTTTGAAGGTGGGTAGACTCACCTGTGTTCATGCTGCAAAGTTTTCCTACCCTGGTACTAAGTGATTCTCAGATACGCACTTCCTATCCAGACTTGGAAAAAGCTTCAAACTCAGATGTTTGATAACAGTTTCCCAGGACTTTGAAAATTTTCTGAGACTGAACCCAACATGGAGGGGGAGAGAATGCTTTATTGATCGATAGTGTCTACTATGGATAAAGAGGAGAGGAGTGATAACCAACCCATATTTACCCTTTGTAGAGATAGTAACCATTCTTTTGGGAATGTAAAATCGGCATTTATAAAACAACCAGAAGTCAGACAAGTCTGTGTATACAGCACAGATATGCCGATGACAGGGGACAAGGATGAGCTGCTTCAGCACCCTCATCTTCACCAAGAGGGGTTATTATTTGGAAATATATGCTTTCCAAAGTCTGTGAGAACAAGAAGCATCAGCTGAGGCACAAAGTGTAGGCTGTGCTGGAAAACCAAGAATAAGCCGATCAGAAATGTCAGAGTCAAACTTTATTCTTATATTTCCTAAGCAGCTTCTCCCAGAACATATGTCTCCCTCCTGCCTATGCATCCCCGAAAACCTCACTTTCTTTGAGGATCCTGACATCATCCCCACTCCTTGAAGTACTCAGGCAGGGGATCTAAGATAGAAGGGGCCCTGTTTTATGTCCAGGGCAGAAAGACGGTCAAAACAGGTATCACCTTGGGACATGGTTCCCTGTCTAGGTGAGATGAAATTAGACACAGGACACTGGCAGACATTCATCCTGACGGCACTCAGGAGCTGGGACTCACTCAAGGCTAGGTCAGGAGATGATGCCCAGAGTGGGAGAAGGGTCTAGGCTGCTCATGGCATATTCAGAACATTTGGGTTTGGGGTATTGTTTGACATGAGCCACTGATGGGAGTAGAGCATGACTGGGCTGAGGTTGAATAAAGTCTTCACAGATTCTGGTTGGGGCTTTGGAATTTCTTCTATGAATGAAAAGAGGCATGTGAGGGCTTCTAGGTGCAGAAAAAATTGTGTCAGTTTTTGCTAGCTTAATCATCCAGGGTTGTGTGGGGAGTGGTTTGAAGGAGGGGTAAGAGGTTACAATCCTTGTGGTAGCCAGAATGGAACCTAATTAGGGAAGTGATGTACGGATAGATGGAGTTCGAGGTACACTTAAGAAGGGCCAGGGAGAAACTGACGCTCAAATTCATGTGAAACTTAAGGTGGTTCAGAATAGTCAAAACACTTTTGGAAAAAATAATGAAGTAGGAAGACTCACACTATCTGATTTAAAAATATTCAAAAAATTACGGTAATCAAAACAACGTGGTATTGGTACAAACACTCAAAAACTCAAACTCATTGCCATCAAGTTGAGACCAACTCATAGCTGTCCCTCCAGCATATTTTCAAAGACTGTAAATTGCACAGGAAAAGGATCTACATAGAGATAGAATTAGAAAATCTACTCATCCATTTATGGCAATTGATTTAATAAATGTTCTGAGTCCATTAAATGGGAGGAAAGATTCATCTTTTTACTTATGGTGCAGAGACACCTGGATCTCCATGTGCAAAAGAATGAATTTGGATTCTTACCTTAAATATATGCACAAGTTAATTAAAATGCATCAATGACCTACATAGAAAAGCTAACCCATAAATCTTAGAAGGAAATATGAATAAAGCTGTAGGATCTTCTTTCAGTCTTAGCCATGAAACGGAAAGCACAGAGCACGTGAAAAAAAATAGAAAAATAGAAATTCATCAAAATTAAAACCTTTTGGTATCAAAGGACATAAAAAAGAAAGTAAAAAGACAATCTACAAAATGGGAGGAAGTATTTGGATGCTCTGGTGGCCTAGTGGTAAGAAGCTGTGCTGCAATCCTGGAGGCAGGCAGTTCGAGGCCACCAGCTGCTCCGCAGGAGAAGGATAGGCAATCTCTCCCCACATGATTAACTGCCTCTGTAAACCTGCCGGAGGGTCAGCTATGGGTCAGTTCTGACTCTATGGTACACAACAACAACTCATATAATATAAGGGTTTTAATATCCAGAGTATTTCAATACCTTTTAAGACTTAATGGCAAAAAGACCAACAAGTAAGTGAAAAAGTGGATAAAAGACCTGAATATACATTTTTCCAAAGGAGCTATGTGATTGGCCAATGTTGTTTAGGTGCCATCGAGTTGGGGATGACCCACAGTGACCCTCTGAATGTGAACCCTGTCCTATTTTGTGCCCTCTTCACACTTCCTGAAACATTACAGCCCATTGCGTCAGTTACTGTGTCAATCCACCTGATCTAGGGTCTTCCTCTCCTTCACTGACTCTCCACCCTTCCAAACATCATGTCCCTGGAACAATCCCTCCTAGAAACATGCCTGAAGTATGTGAGGTGCCTCATGTTCCTTGCTTCCAAAGAGCACTCCAAGACTTTCCCCAAGACATATTTATTTGTTATTTTTGTAGTCTATGGGATGTTCAGGGCTATTTTCCAACACCACAGCTCAAAGTCATCAATTCTCCCACCATCCCTATTCATTGTCCAGCTCTCAGATGCATAGTAAGTGATCAGAAAAACCATGGCCTGAATCAGACACACCTTAGTCCTCAAACTGACATCATAACTCCTCAATAATTGGAAAAGGTCCTTACTGCAGACTTTCCCAGTGCAACACGTCTCCTGACTCTTGACTGTTGCAGACTTTCCCAGTGAAACACATCTTCTGATTCTGAACGCTGGTACAGAGGGTATTAATTGTGGATTCAATAAGCATAAGAAAAAAAGCTTATTCTTTTTAGCTATTCCAAATAACTTCTGCTTAGTCTATTCCAACTTAAATTGACCATACAGGACAGAAAAGAACTGCTCCATAGTATTTCTGAGGTTATAAATTTTTATAGGGGCAGACTACTTAATCTGTCTCCCACAGAGCAGGTGGTGAGTTCAAATCACTGACCTTTCATTAAGCAGTCTGCCTCTTCACCCACTGAACAATATGGCTCCTTTCTTAGGCATTGAGAAAATGCACACTGAAATAACTGTGAGGCATCACTTCACATCCACTGAGATGGCTATTATAATTTTTTTAAAAGCAAAAGAAATAGAAAATAAATATTGGCAAGAATATGGGGAAATGGGATTTCTGGTGGGGATGTAAGGTAGCACATTTATTGTGGAAAATAGTTTGAAGGTTTCTCAGAAATGGAACTTAGAATTTCTATATGACCCAACAAGTTAACTTCTAGTAATACATGCAGAAGAACTGAAATAATGATTCAAACAGACATGTGTGCATCAATGTTCATTGTAGCATTTTTCATGGTAGTCAAAAGGTGAAAACAACTTTTGCCAAATGATATGTCAATGGATACACAAAATATGTATATAAAGTTCAGACATAAACAGAAAAGAACAAAGTTTTGATACACATTGCCACATAAATGGTCATTGAAAATATTAAGTTCAGTGAAATAAACCAGTTATAAAAAGAAAAGCATTATATGGTTCCACTTACATGAAATGACTAACATAGGAAAATCTAAAAAAAGTTTGTGGGGGGAGGATTAAGAAAACAACAAAATCTTTTCAATCTCACATCCTCCTCTTCGCCTCAGGCCTACTTTCTTCTGAGAACTACTTTGTTCTTATACTCATTCCATTGATTTTCCCAGTTTCCTCTTTAATTTACTCCAATCTGCATTTCACCCAAGGATGCTGCTCTCCCCATTCTATGTAGGTGTATTGGTTGGGAAACCCAAGGGAAGCGTCTCAGTGCCCCTCTTGCCTGGCTCAAGCAGCAGCATCCTGCACACCCTGCAGGGCACGCTCTCTCTGGAGTCTGTGGAGCCACACTGAAGGGTTCCTTTTCTGTGTCCTTTGCACTCCTTTCGGAGGGGGGTTTCTTGGAGTGGAGAGCAGAGTTGCTTCTCATCTGTCTCCTTGCTCTGCTAGGGCAATCTTGCTATGCTCCTGACTTGATTAACCTCTCTCTGCTGAGAGTTTTCTTTCCAGCCTGATTTTCCCCCTAGAGCACCAGACCCAAGAACAGAAATACGTACTGGAGATTTTTGAACAGAACTCAGCACCCTCCTCAAATTGGCCTTCCTCCTACCTCGCCATGTGGATGGCTGACAGCGCCATCATCACAGGACATCACACTTGTCCTCAGTTCTTCTCTTCTGCTCACACTCACAGCCAGGAAACCTGAGCTCTCATGGTTCTAAGTCCAGAGTATTGAACCCACCCTATTGCTTCCTCTTTGCTCTACTGAATGGCTCTCAAGCAGCAGGATCTCTTTCTGGGGGCTCTGTGCTGACTCGGATGCTGGGCAAGGTGGTGGGGGCATGCTAACTGTGCCCCTTAACTCCCACTGCCCTATTCAGGCCACTCAGATCTGGCATGGGAAACAAGCCAGGGAGTGGGCCCTGAGGTGGGAGTGAGTAGTCCTTAGGCAGAAGCCCCCAGAGCCTGGGCCACTCTCTGGACCACCTTGCGCAGTGCCTCCTTCACCTCCTGGTTCCGCAGGCAGTAGATAATGGGGTTGACGAGGGGCGTGAGCACCGTGTAGACCACAGACACCAGTTTGTTGTAGTCAAAGGAGTAGATGGCACGCGGCCGGGCATAGATAAAGAGGGAGGCTGAGTAGAAGATGACCACCACGGCCAGGTGGGAAGCGCAGGTGGAGAAGGCCTTCTGGCGGCCAGTGGAGGATGGGATGCGCAGTACCGTGCTGAGGATGGCTGCATAGGAAGACACAGTGAGCAGCAGCGGCCCCAGCAGGATGAGCAGGGCCAGCAGAAAGTCCACAAGCTCGGCCACGGACATGTCTGAGCAGGCAAGGTTGAGTAAGGGGGACACATCACAGAAGAAGTGGTTCATGATGTTGGGGCCGCAGTAGCCAAGGCGGGAGATGAAGAAGACCTTCCCCAGCGAGATACTGAAGCCTGAGAACCAGGAGCCAGCGGCCAGCAGGCTGCAGAGTTCAGGGCGCATGATGGTGGGGTAGCGCAGGGGGCTGCAAATGGCCACATAGCGGTCGTAGGCCATGACGCCCAGCAGCATACATTCAGTGCAGGCCAGTGCCAGGAAGAAGTAAAGCTGGGCCATGCAGCCTGCAAAGGAGATCCGGCGAAACTCAGGGGCCACCAGGCTAAGCAGCATCTTTGGCACGGTGACAGAGATGTACCAGGCCTCCAGGAAGGATAGGTGGCTGAGGAACAGGTACATGGGCTTGTGCAGCAGGGAACTGACACGGATCACGGCCACGATGACCACATTCTCTGTGATGGTCAGCATGTAGGCCCCCAGAAACAGCACCAGCAAGCCCAGATGGAGCCCTCGGGAACCTGTGAAGCCTAGCAGGATGAACTCGGTTACCTCTGAACCATTGTCCCTCGAAGACATGGCCCTATCTGAGAGCTGAGGCTGTGGATCAAGCCGGTGTGGGGACATTGAGCTAATGTGCCTGTGGACAGAGGAGGGAGTCTTAGGACACCCAGGGATGGACTTGGCTAGACTGAGAGCAGAGTTCTCCCACCCTCAGGCTGGTACTCTCACAGAGGCGTTCCCAGGCAGGGGACCATAGACTAGCAGGGCAGCATGAGGAGACGAGTGGAGCAAGACAGGTCCCAGGCTGGAATCTGGCCGAGGTGGGCAGTCTGGCTCTGCTGCTTTCTTTGTGGTAACAGGGCATTGTCTTACCAATATGCTGGGACTTGGTGTCCTTATCTATATGTGAAGGATCGGGTGGCAACACACCAGGACGTACCCCAGGCCCAAGTCCCATCTCTCCAAGAGAGGAGCTATGGTTCCTGAGAGAATCCAGGCTCTCAGGGGGCTATACGGACCCATCTCTTAGTCTAGAGAGATTGCAGGCATCTCTCTCTTATTTCCCGCCACAGCCAGGCCTCCTGCTGCTGACTGCTACCCAGCTCCATCCTGCATACCTGTCACAGCACTGGCTGGGCCAGAGTAGCCCAGAAGAGAGCCTTGCCTTTACTGCCCACTCCAGAGTGTTGAGCTGAGTGGCCCATTGACACTGGTAGTCGGTAGCAGGAGGAGTCAGGTTAGGTGAAGCCTGCCCTGCACCTAAAGCCTGCACAGACTGGCCTCTCAGAGATCTCTACTCCAGACCCTCCCGCAGCTCTTGAGCACCATGCCAGCCTGGCTCCACTTAGCTCTGCACCAACAGCTCCAGAGCCCTGGCTCCAGGCAGCATGAGGCAGGAGAGTACATGGACACAAGGACCTTCTGCCTTTTGTGTCCTTAAGATACGCCCAGCCCTTCAACATGCACCTGTTCCCATCTCAGTTCTTCTACCCTGTACCCCCAACACCCAGCACTGATATACACCTACCCTTAAACCAGGACACCCTTTCAGAAAGCCAGACTCTGTGCTCCCATGCTGTCTCATGCATTTCCATGGACAGGTGCACACAGGCATACACAGATACACCTGGGTGCTTAGAGCACACACAGTTGCACACAGGCTCCCAAGTGCATCCACAGACACACAAGTGCACAGATAGGTGCACACAAAGCACCACAAACACACACAGATGCATTCACAGGTGTATAAGCAGGTACACACACACAGACACAGAAGCACATAGTCAAGCTTATGTGCACACAGTTACACAAAGGTGAACCACTGATACAGGTTCATGCACAGGCTATTCACAGGGACATATATGAGTAGACACAAGCATGTAGTACACATAGCCACACCCAGGTGTACCCACAGACACATAGATTCATCATAAGTGTACACATGGGTGAACATATAGGCACACAGATGCACATAGTCACACTTGGATATAGACACAAGCACACTTAGGAGGGTCTAGGCACACACAAGTGCACACAGCCTCACATACGAGCAAGTTCACACATAGTTGCTCCCACAGACACACAGACACATACTCAGGTGCACACATCCCTCAACTCTCACCTGTGCAGAGACTGAGTTTGCAGGTGGTGGATCTGACACACTAGCCTTACCTCCTCACCTGCATGCATGAATTGAGTGTGAATGGGTCTACCAGCTCCTATGGCAGCAAGCACTCGTGAGCTCTCCAACCTTGTCCTTGAGTTTTTGGTCGGGGATGGGGATAGTCACACTTTGGCAAGAGCCAAGCAGTTAGTCCAAATTCCGTACAAACTTTCAGACTAGGGGCTCAGGACTGTTTGACCCAAAAAGTCAGAACTTGGAATACAGAAGAATAAGCCACATCTTCTGCAAATATCTCTTCCCAAAAGAGACTCCTCTACATCATAGATGAGAACTGAGTGTCCAGGGAGATGTCCTCACATCAGAGCAACAGCCCAGAGAGAGACAGGTGGCTCACCTGGTATTCAGAAGAATGAGGGCCAGTTGTTCAGGGAAGTGTTCTGTAGTCTCCAGAGTGTCATTACAGCCTGGGGTTGTGGTCAGTGGGAGGGGTATGGGCAGAGCTGTCCAGGGAAGCAGGAGCTGGAGCTCTGTCTCTGCCCGCTGGCTACAATTTGCTTCCAGAGAATATGTGTGATAAGGAAATTGGCAGCCTTGGACTCTGCCTGTCCTCTCCTTACATTAAGAGTACTCTAGAAGAAGCTGCTGCAGGAGCTTCTCCCCCCAAGGGCTAAGGAAGAAGCTAGCTGCTTTGCACACAGAGGCCCAGGAGACAGGCATGCAGAAGGCCACAGGACAGACTACCTGGGGCCTGTGACACCTCAGTTCCTAGGGACTTACTTCCCTTAGGAGGAGGCATCAGCCAAACTGGCCTGATCAGCGGCCAGGTGGAAACCTGCTTACCTACCCTGCTTACCTACCTTCCTCCAGCTCCACCTGATTCCCCTCAGTCAGAAACCTGCCCCTACTCATTTCAGTTGACTCTTCAAATGGAAACCAACTCCCTTCACCCGATTGTCCTCAGATGGACACCATCTCTCCACCTGATTGTTCCCAAATGAGTACCTGCTCCCCTTGCCTGACTGTCCTCAGATGGACAACTGCTACCACACTCCACCTGACTCAGATAGACATCCACTCCCCCACTCCACTTTACCGTTCTCAGATGGGCACTAGCCCCCCCCCACCTGACTATCTTCAGATGGACACCAGTTCCCCCACTCCACCTGACTGTCCTCAGATGGACACCTGCTCCCCTTCCTTGGCTGTCCTCAGAGTCCCTCCCAACGCTTATTTTCCTCATATGGAATGCCAATCCCTCCACTCTTGAGCATCCTAAGATAGAAACTTGCCCTTTCTACTCTCCACCTGGCTGTGCTCAGTTAATACCCTTTCTCACACAATTGTCAGTACACGCAAACCTGTCTATGTAGGAGGAGGTCAGGGAAATTCATGGGATCTCATAACTAGAAAGGCCCAGGAGGAAATGCCGTGGGGGACTGTCCTCACTGCCTCTTTCCAGACCTAGGAATGTGCTCTTAGGTGGGTTCTGCTGAACCTACTTGGAGCTCTGAGGCTTTTCCTCCCTTTCCTGAGCTCTGGGTACTCCATCCATGAGCTGAGGGACGATGCAGGTTTGAGGACCACAGGATCTATCCATCCTCCATTCTGTCTCTATATGGGCCAGTAGTGCCTCATGCAATGCTCATAAGGCCAGCTAGCAACTCTCATAGTCGATGAGAGTAGGTGAAGGGCAGGTAGGGGATGTGGCCCTCTGGACACTGAGCTGTGTCTCTGAACAGGTCAGTCATGCCTGCTACAGTGAGAGGAACCACCCAAGGGATAGAGAGGCCTTATCTTTTTCCAAGGACTAGCCCTTTCTGGCATGTGAGATGAAGTTTCATCATTGTTACCTCCAAGGAGCTCTCTGGTTGCATTTCCACCAAGATATGCATATCTGTTTGTCCTTTTGGTCATCCATGAGATATTCATTATGCTTCTCCAACACTACAACTTAAAGGCATTGATTCTCCTGATTATTTAAAAAGGCTATAACAGTTCACTGGCAGGGAACTTCCATAAGTCCAAGTTAGATTTAGAGGAGAGTGTATTGTTCTTGTTGTTAGATGCTGTTGAGTCGAGCAACCTTATGAACACCAGATATGAACCCAGTCTTTATACTGTACCATCCTCACACTTCCTGACACATTAGAGCCCATTATGACAGTCACTATGTCAATCCACCTGGTCGAGGTTCTTCCTTTCCTTTGCCAACCCTCCACCTTTCTGAAAATGATGTCCCTTTCCAATGAATAGCCCCTTCTAGCAACTTCACCGAAGTATGTGAGGTGAAGCCTCATCATCTTTGCCTCCAAAGAGCACTGTAACTTCACCCTTTACAAGACATACTTGTTTGTTCTTTAGGCAGTCCATGGGATGTTTAGTACTGTTCTCCAACATCTCAGTTCAAAGGCATCAATTCTTCTTCTGTCATCTCTATTCATTGTCGAGCACTCAGATGCATAGCAAGTGATTGAAAAGAACATGGCTTGAATCAGATGCATTTTAGTCCTCAGACTAACATCATTACTCCTCCATAATTTGGAGAAGTTCCTGACTGCAGACTTTTCCAGTGCAATATGTCTCCTGATTTTCTGACTGCTGGTTCCAAGGATGTTGGTTGTGAAACAAAGTGAGATGAAGTTGTTGACAGTTTTAATCTTTTCTCCATCTATCATGATGTTGCTATTACTCCAGCGGTAAGAATCTTGGTCTTCTTGACATTGACATGCAATCCATATAGAAGTCTGTATTCTTTGATCCTCTTCAACAAACCCTTCAAGTCTTCCTCACTTTCAGAAAGCGAGGTTGTATCATCTGCATAATGCAGGTTATTGATGAGTCTCCTTTCAGCTCTGATGCCACATTGTTCTTCATCGATTCCAGCTTCTTGAATAATTTGCTCACCATACATATTGAACAGGTACGGAGAGAGAATATAACCCTGGCACACTTTCTTCCTAATTTTAAACCATGTAGTGTCCCTTTGCTCTGTTTGCACAACAGCCTCCTGGTCTAGGTATAAGCTTCACATGAGCACAATTAAGTGCTCTGGGATTCCCAGTCTTCTCAATGTTAGCCATGACTTGTTATGATCCACATAGCAAAATGTCTGCATGGGTAATAAAGCATAAATAGATATTCTTCTGATATTTTTTACTTACAGCCAGGATTCATCTGACATTAACAATGACATCCCTGGTTCCACAGCCTCTTCTAAATCCTGACTGAATTTCTGGCAGCTCCCTATCTTCGTATTGTCTACCAGTTTTTGAATGATCTTCAGCATTATTTTCCTTGCATGTGATATTAATGCATTCTTCAATACTTTCCACATTCTGTTGAATCACCTTTTTTGTAAATGGGAACAAATATGGAACTCTTCCAATCTATTGGCCAGACAGCTGTCCTCCAAAGTTTCTGCCATAGACTGGTGGGTGCATCCACGGCTGCA